TGACAGTTTCTCTCTTAGTGGCATAGAACTTTCCCCTCTTCTACTCCAGGTTATCAACATCACCTGAGGGTCTGAGATGTACCCAGGGGCTAGTGACACCCACCCTTCCCACCCCACCCCACCCCACCCCCTCAACCCCAAGGTTACAGTGTACTGTCTGAATTCAAATCATGCCAGTGGTGATTCTGGTAGCTGATCTCAAAGGACTCAGGATTCCAGACATCTTGACCTAGGAAATTAACATGCCAAGACTTTTCTTCTCTCCCTCCCACTTCTCTCTCCCTGTTTTCCTGTCTCTCCTCCTCTCTTCTCTAAATCACAGCATGTACACAAGTGCTGAATGGTTATGACCAGCTGGTTCTTTTCTGAAACCAGAAAGGCTTTCAGTTGAAACATGGAGAGTTTAGATGAAAGAAAAATGTCACCATTGGTTGTTAAAGTAGGAAAAAGAGACTCCGGTTTTAGATATCTTCCTAAATATCGGCAAGCCCTCTAAAGCCGTGGCTGGTGAGACTTTGGCTCCAAGGGTCCTGCACAGTTTCCTAGAGAAGGTGTCCCAGAGAAGACACCAGAGCAGTAGTCATGTTTGCCATGGCTGGGTTCCCATGAAGGGCACAGGTCAGCACCCTGTGAGGGAGCCATGCTGTACGTCCCCGCCAAACATTTGTCAGTGCTTCAGAAGGTTCCTCCCACAGCTGTCTGCTCTCTCCCATCCCTCCCACGCCAGGTGAAGTGCTACCATAAGAAGTACCGCTCGCCACCCGGATGTCGTTTTTTCGCCTACAATTTCATACCGGCGCTGTTCAGGGCTATAGCCTTGTGTTTGGAAGGAGGAGCTGGACAGTGCCAGCAAGGTGAGGGGCTGCTGCCTGTGCTGTGCATGGATGGCGGAGGTGGAGGGGTGTGGCGAGGGTCACTCTGGGTTATGGGCCCCCAGGCAGCCCCGTTGCTTCTTTCTTTCACTGTTCCCTACCTGACCCCTCCAATGAATTTAGCCTATTGCATAATTGTTAGGGGGAAAGGATGTCCTGAGCTAATCCCATACAGGCTTTGTGGACTCCACCCCCACTCCAGACTAAAGCCATCAGGACATTGGGAAAGACAAATCCCTCACCACCAAGGGGAGGGTGGCTGGGACCTGAGGGTGGAGTTGGGCAGCCAGGTTGGATATAAAAACCAAACACGTGGGCCTTGCTCGCTGGCTGGCTCGCGATCGCTCGCGCCTGGCTTCACTGCTCCTGCTGGCGGCCAACTCTCAGAGCGCCATTTGGGATTCCTGATCGCGGATCGGGTAGGACCATTTAAAACTTTGTCGCCCACTTTTCTCCAGAGCTGTACATTTCCTCATTTCCCTTTCCCTTGTAAATAACCTTTTATTAACCTTTCCGTGTGCCTGCAGTAGAGCATTGATAAGTCCTTTTAAGCGCGCGGGGGAGGACCACAGTCAGGCACCCCGTTTTGTATCGGGGTTGCTCTAAACATAATCATTGACAATCCTGCAAGGGAGGGTGGGTGGGGGCGAAACGGGGAAACGGTATATGAAATTGCAGATTCCTGAATGGTGCCTTGCTGGGGGAAATTTAAGGACACAATTCATCCATGCTTTTTTTGGCTTTTAATCTCCAAATTTGCTCAAATTTTTTTTCTCAGATGACCGTTTTCCTAATAATGGGAAAATTGAGTTGGTCTTTTCCGCTACTCCTGAGAAGATTCAAGGTAAGTAGAGGCAGATGCTGGACCAGTTGGTGGCTGTATGGTGAGGGGTGTCGTGAGCTCCCTGTACAGTCTCCAATCTTTACATGTGTTTGGAAATATTTATTTTTTAAAAAAGTTTATTAGAAGGTTGAGGCAGTATGTCTTGGAGACAGCAGGGCCCAGATGGGTCAATAAGACCCCAGAGATGGCATGACTCTCCCAGAAGGGTCCAGGAAGGGGGGGTATGCCTTCCCCCAACCCCGTTTGCTTCTATCCTCAACCAGCTACTAAATATTTTTAAAGAGTATTAGAAGTGTAGTAGACTGCAAATATTTATAGGCAAAATAGATTCTTCTCTATAAAACTATATCAATAGAAAAATCTGTCCTTTTCAGTCAAGGAGAATGGTCTGTTTCTATCACCCAGACCCATGTGTGTGAGTTTGTTTTGAACAGCTGTGGAAGGTAATCACCGCTAACTTTCACACTCAGCATCAAAGATCTAGGCAGGAGTGGTTACAGGCAAGCTTAGTGAGGTAAAGCCACTTGGCATCCTCAGAATGTCTGGTGGAAGGAGCATGGATATAGGCGCATGGGAGTGGGGCCCTACCCTGCCTGACCCATCCACCTGCCCTTGGTAGGCCTCTGGCACACATGAGCCCTGAACTGTGAAATGGCTACTGATCTTGTGCAGAAGAAACACTCAGCCCAGAACTGTCACAAGGTGGACAGAGAACCGATACTCACCTTTCCATCCCACCAAGAGATTTTACCTGTCGTTCAGTTTGTCCAAACAGTGCGTCTCAGCTCTAATGCCAGCCTGGAGGGAGGAGGTGGATCTAGGGGCTTGACTTCTGCACTTGAGTCTAGCGAGTGCACTACTTTGCACTCGCTCTCCCACCTCATCCCTGGGCGGATGCAGAAGTGCTAGCTCCTGGTTCTAATGGCTGTGTCCATCCCACTCCATGCAGGATGTGAGCACTTGTGCAATGACCGTGGGGTGATCGTGGACTTCAATACTGCAGACCCGCTGATCCGCTGGGACTCCTATGAGAACCTGAGTGCAGATGGAGAAGGTGAGTGAGGTTACTTGGTGTCAGTTTTCTGAGGGAAGGGCCTGGAGCAAGGAGCCTGTTTACATTTAGATGAGAAGTGTCCTTGCCATCTGCTCAGAGAAACCCTGCTGTCTTCTTGGAGGTCCAGAACCCATAGTTGTGAGTTTAATGGCTCTTGTGAGAATCACGTTTGGGGAATTTGGGTTGAACTCTTGATACTTTGGCAGCAGGTGGTTAAGTGTCAGTGAAGTCACACATCCCAGAGCATCCTGCCCAAACTGTGTTTTTCTCAGTTTTCCCTCCTGTCTGTGTATGCTCAGTGCTAAGCGTCTGGTCACAGGCAGCCATATATTATCTTTGTGCCCTTTGGCTGCAGCTATCTGGATTTTATTTCTTCTTTGTGCTTGTTGCTCTAGTGTCCTGGTTGAATGGGTGCACCATTTTAAGGTCTGTCTTTATGAGTCTATCTCCCCCAAATCTGTTCTCTGCTTGCCCACTGAACGTGCACACGACTCACTCACAGCAGCATCGTAAAGGGGTATTGGCATGCTAGGTGGGGGCGGGAGTGTCTGTTGGCCTTAATGACAAAAGCCACTGGGACTGATTTCAGAGGGATTAGGACTTCTTCTATGACTGGCTTGCAGGAAGGGTTGTTCTGTGGGGTCACTCATTTTGTACTCTAGCTGGAGCATTGCTTCTCTGCTCCTACACCTGGAGCAGAGCATCCTAAGCATGTCAGCCACATTGACTTAGGCTGCATTTATCTCAATCTCTTTCTGTGTTCAGCTCAGTATTTCGCAAGAATCTAAACCGCCTTGGTGGCTGGAGACAAAGTGCTGATTCTTGGTGGCCCTGAGGCATGGCCTCCAAGTGCCATGTTAAATGTCTCACAGCAAGAGTAGCTTCTGCACCATATATGACCTGACTCCCTCCTCTGAGCACCTGCATGTATCCAGAAGCACCTTTTTCTGTGCCCAGGTCACTGAGCACACTTGTTCCATCAGAGGTGTTCCCAGAGTGCACTTGACCTTGCAAAGCTCATGTAGGGCTCTAAGTTCTCACCTGTTTATCAACACCACCTCTGAGGCCCCTGCCACCAGAGCCTGAAAGTATTGGCCTCTGGTCCTTGTGCAGAAGGCGCATGATTTCTATCCTTGCATGGCACTTGTCCTCCTGAATTTTTCTTCTCTCTGGCTTCCCAGCACTCCTGTGGACTTCTTGGGCTGTGAACCTGTGCAAGTGGACCACTTCCTACCCCGTGGCTATCACCAGTAATTACAGGCCCTGCTGGGGTACCTTTTACCAGGGTACAATTGGCCCCAGGAGTTCTGGGGCCTGGTGGGGAAGAAGCAGGGTCTCAGCTAGGTTATACCAGAATGAGCTTTAGTGCTCAGAGCTAGTTAATGCCTTTTAAAGTGTTGAGGTGCTAAGACTATGAATCACTTTCTTCCCACTTGAAAGCTGCATATTACAGCATTGTCTTTTCTACTCTCCTCCCCCACCATCTCTAGTTGCTACTGATAGAAAGCAAAGCAAACCAAAACTCAGCAGCATTAACTTAGGCTGCCTTTATCTCTAGAATCACTGCCATTGTAGAATGGAGCATTCCATGACTGCCTTTAAAGTCTGAGTGTGACCATCTGTTTCTATTCCATCAGCAGTGAATTTGTTCAGATGTGCAAGCAATCCCAAATACCCTGTCTGCTTTGCAGAGGCGCTATCTCCTCCCGGGTCTGTGGTCCTGGTGGGGTGGTTGGTGGGGAGCTGGCTGCGCTCAGAATTTCCTGGGCAGCACACTTGGCCCTGGAAAGAGAATGAAGTGGTAGTGCTGGGGTGAGGTATGGCAGCTGGCCGAAGCCTCACATCTTAAAGATTTATTTATTATTTATGCATACAAGAACTGAGGTCCAGGCCAGAGGTGTGGGGGGTGAGAGGATTCACAAGAGACAGAGTGGGGAACAGAGTGGGGTAGATCGACTGAAATACACTGCTGAGGGGAGCAGCAGGTGAAACAGGAGAGGTCTGCTGTGCCATGTGGGCAGCTCTCTGGCCTGGGATCGAACTCGTGCTGTAATGGCTGCGGACAGCTTCATAGGTTCCAGGGAGGCCCTGAAGCCTCACATCTTAATTCATGCTCCCAAGAACCTGTAAACCCACCTTAAAGATAAAAGGATCAGTTCCTAAAAGATATCTAAAGTGAGATACCGGTTAGAGGTCCTTGAAGTCTTCTCGGCTTGTACAAGGTCTGTGATCACAGAGGAAGCTGCGTAGTTGCCCTGTGTTGTTCCAGATACCAAAGGACAGACACTGAAATGGATGGGAGCCCAGACCCATCTGACTGCAGCGTACAAGCTCTGCACTGGTCCCAGGCCAGGTAAAGCCTGCACACGGCAGAGTCCATGTGAAGTGGTCTAAGCAGAACGAGAAGTGATACCTCTGCCCCCTCTCCTCCTCCTCCCCCTCCTGAGACACACACACACACACACACACACACACACACACACACACATGCACGCACGCGCACAGAATACTTGAAGCTCTTGGGGCTGCTTGTTCTTCTTGGTCCCCAGCCCCACCACAGCCTCTACTTGGGCAGGGAGGGGGGACCCTCAGTGTCTTGGCAGGAGACCTAGCCCGGGAGAAGTTGGATGTGCTGCCTGCTTATGTAAGTCAGTCACTTCATTTCCATAGTGCCGGCTGCTGGAAGTGTCCTGACACTAAATTAGCAAATACTAAGCAATGGTCTCTGTAGAATGCTGGGCCCAGCTCCTGCTGGCCTCTGTTCAAAGCATTTCCATCAATAATACACCACCTTGTTTTCTGTGCTCTTTCTAAAGACACCTTATCTAGTATTCTTGTTGAATCATTCACATCCATTGTGGCCAACAGTGCTATCAGTCCTGGACGAAGCCGCCTTAACCCACAGATCTTCCCCGGGAGGCCCAGCACAGCTTTCTTTTTTTTTTTTTTTTTAAATAATAAATTTTATTTTTATATTCCCCCATACAATTGCAAACGCCCCATTCTGACCCCAATCCTTCCCCTCCCGCCCCCCACCCCCCAAAAAGTGTCTCTGGTTCATAGTTTTTTGTTGATTTTGATTTTCACTTTCTTATATTCATTTTCCTGGTCCCTTATTTAAGTTTTCTAGATTCCTGCTACAGCATAGCTTTCTTGCTCAGAACACTAGACGGCACTTTAGCACTGTACTGAGGGGTCATTTTATTTTATTGTTTTTAAAGATTTATTTATTTATGCATATAAGAACTGGGGTACAGGCCAGAGGTGCAGGGGATGAGAAGAGTCAACAGAGACAGAGTGGGGAACAGAATAGACAGACTAACTGAAATACACTGCTGAGGGGAGCAGCAGGTGAGACAGGAGAGGTCTGCTGCAGGCATCGAATTTGTGCTGCAGGGGCTGTGGATAGCTTCATAGTGCTGTGCTTAACCCCTTGCGCCACCAGGGAGGCCCTCGGGGGGTAATTTTAAACAGAGAAGTCACCAACAAGAGTTGCAAAGCTGCAAAAAATGTTGCAATAAATAGACCCAAAGAGAGAGACTTCTTTGGTGTGAGATGGAAACAAGCTTAAGCCCTGCAGGGAGTGTGCTCCTGAAGGCATCTCAGAATTTTTGCTGCTCTGCTCATGTCTGCCCGTGACCAGGAACATGCTCCATGTGTTGCCAACCTGGGGTTTTGGATAAATGATTTTCAATGATTAGGTATATTTGTTGACATGCAATCATGAATAATGGGATCCACTGTGCTTGGTGGTTTTGTTTTTAAAAAATCATCTCATTGCTTTTGTCCCTTTGGAGGGACTGTACCCTTTGGGCTCAGGGACCATGACCTGTTCAGCTCAGGAGATATGGGAGCTACAGCTCTGCACCAGCTGCTCCGGTTTGGCTCTTGCCTTCCTTCTTGTGCTGTGTGCCTGGGACCAGTTACTTGACCGCTCTGTCCTTTTTTCCTCTACCTGTGGGGAATAATAGTGCCAGAGCTGCTGAGAGGATGCAGGAACGTGATACAGATAACAAGGTCTATTAAATGTGTTATCATTTCCTCTGAAGCCCAGAAGTGGGTGTGGGAACGGATCTCACAGGACCCATGAAGGTTTTGTAGCACCCTAAGTGGTTTGTGGGGGCAGCACACATCTCTTGTACTGTCAGGCTGCTAACATAACATGGCAAAACCATGTGTGCTAGGGCCTGTGAAAAGGGTTGAGACCTTTCATCTGCTTGGTCAGCAGACCAAGTTCTGCTGACTTTTGTCCCACCCAGAGCCCCCGTAGTTTCTCACCTTCCTGCTGAAGATACTCAGTGACGGGTTACAGAATGTGTACCAGGTGTCCTGCAGACTTTGCCTGTCCCAGCACTACATCTGTTCTGATGACTGAGGGCATGCCCACAGACTCATGTGGGTTCCAGAATTTGGGATGTCACCCCCAGAGACCATGAGCAGGTACATTGCCACTGTCCAGAGGGCCTGGACATGACAAGGTCAGTGTGTCAGGTGCCATTCCCTCTCGCTCCTGTGCACCTGACCTGTTCTTTATTTAAAAAACAGTCTAGATTGGCACTGGGGCTGTGGCAGCCTCTCTGTGGGCATGTTCTCTGCTCCCTCGAGGGCCACATTCTTGTATGAACCTCAGTTTCCCCATCTGTAAAATGGGGAAATCTGTGAGTAAATCACACATCATTCAAGAGACAACCTCCAACTCCATCAGTTCTTTTCTATTGTTTGACATACAGTTTTGCTTCTTCATGCATCTCACATTTCATCAGGGCCTCGCCGTGTCTCTGATGCTGTAATGGACAAGGGTGAGTTAAATAGTGGACCTTCTCATGGGGAAGATATGTGTGTGTATGTATGAATATGTATTTATATTTTATAGATATATGCATACATACTTGTGTGTGTATAAGCATATGCATGTGTAGCTGTACATTTATGGGTGTATGTGCACATGTGCATATTTGTATATGTGGTGTGTGTGTATATGTCTATGTATACTTGTGTGTGTTTATAATTTTGTATGTAAATGTGTGTATATGTGTATGTATGTATGTATCTACTGACCTACTTTCCTGCCTACATCAGCTGTAGGTTATGCCATACGCCATTACTGAAGTATGTGTCAGGAATCAGAAAAGTGTTGAGGAAGAGCTACCAGCCTGTCCAATCCAGGGAGACTCAGAAAAGAAGATGGCTCTTACAGACAGGGCATGCATTAGGGGGGTGCATGGTGCCTATCCGTGATACAGAATATAGAGATCTCGACAGTTATTGGAGGAAGTTCATCCGTCAGCCTGCTGGACAGTGGGTATATTGGGCGATGGAAGGTAGGGCTGAACCCAATCAGGAAGCCTTATTTTAGGGACTGGCTCTTGTGTTAGGGACTGGCTCTCTGCTGGGTAGTAGTGGGGATCCCTGAGCAACCTGGCTGGAGGTCCAGGAAGATGACACAGGGCCCTGGAGAGCACAGACTGAAAGGAATGGATGCGGTAAAGAGCTTCTCGGAAGCCCTGGTTGGAGCTGCTGGACTTGTACTTCATGGCTCTGGGTGGACAGCTCCCTATTTAGGAGGTAGGTGAATGAGACTCCATGACAGTTTCAACCCATGGCCATATAGCTAGAGAAGGTTCTGGAGCAGTCCATTTGGACATGAAAAGTGCTGGACTCTCCCATACCTAGGTTCTTGACCTTGACCTATGAGTTTCCAACCACGGGTGAAACTCTTGCCAATGCAAGTGTGTGTGGACTGGAGGCCACTGTGTAGCTGTGTTTGGACTTTGTCCCCTCAAGTTAATGTCTTATAAACACGCAACATTAGAACACATTGTTTTGGCACATGCAGGGACTGATCGCAATGCAGGCTGAAGGCTTTCAGATCTCAGCACCTCCACAATAGGGTGCTGTCCTCCTCCCTTCCCTTGGGGTCCTCTGCCAAGATTCTGGCAGATGGGCTGCTGGTGAAGACAAGTTGGGTCAGGAAGCATCTGTGGGTGTGTGTGGACTTGGCTGGGGAACAGGGCGTCAGAAGTGCCGACCAGGAGGTGACATTCAGGCGTTGCCCTTTGGGACGTGGCAGTATGGATGTTCAAAGTGTTTCTCTCCAGATTGTTGTTGGGTTTTAGAATTTGGAAAAGTGAAGCAAGCTTCAGTAATTTAGGAGCCCTATGGACGCCGGCAACTCAGACCTTCAGTCCCCAGCTCTGCTCTGGTCTGAGGCAGGCTGGGTGTGGCAAGAGTGAGCCCCCGGGGCTGTGATGGTGCCTTCTCAGCATCCGGGTGCAGTGGCTGGACTTTGGGAATAGCTGGACTATGAACCCAGATACAGCTCATACCCCTAGCGGAGCTTTTCTGAGCATTGCTTGCATAGTTCATTGAAAAGCTGCTGTTAGGTATCATTTGCCATTTAGGCTGGTGAGGTAGACACCTTGCCCAGAAAATACCTTGTACTCTCTGCAGCCTCCTGCCCTCCCAGCCCTAAGGTCCCTTGTAGGTGTGACCTTGTGTCACAAAGAGTTAACCACCTGTTGTCATCTGATAAGGGATTTCAGGTGTCATCTGTGAAAGGAGGGTGGGGGTCATCTTATCGAACAGAACCTCACACTGTGCTAATGGCCATAAAAATGTCATTAGAGTGTTAACATTTTAAAAGCGACTGGATGCTGTTAGAAGAACAGGTGTGAAGCTGGAGATGGTTTGATGAATCATCCTGGCCTTGAGCACCTGTCCCAGCCAGAATTTATTGCTTTTCTATCATGGATGGTGTCATAGAAATGGCCTAATTCACGCTGTCTTGGCCACGTGTGTGTGGATTAACCACAGTCTGTCCCCAGTGATGGGCATATAGTGAGCCAAAACCCTGGGAGTTGGCCCCCACACACGTACACAGCCCCCAGGCCCTGGAGTCTGCTCTGGTGTGGCATGTGTGCTGGGGTAGGGTCTGAAAGGTGAGTGGTGTTTCGGCGTGATGTGGCTCCATAGCCTCTTAGAGGCCAGTCAGGCAAACTTCACCCCCCTCCCGCTCTGCTTCCTGTCCATCATGAGTGGTGTTGGCATAGCCTCTTCCTCTGAAGGCTGCATTTGCTTGAGCAGCTCACATCAGCTAATCCTGCCCATGCCCTCCCACATCCTGTCCCTGGAGGTCAGGTCTTTGGGCCATTGCCAGTGCCCTGTCTTGGGAAATAGCAACTTAGTGCTGAGTGCTGGAAGAGGAGACAAGACAAGAGAGGAGTCTGGAAGTCAGCCCCACCCAATGTTCTCCCTGAGAAGAGTCATACAATTGCTACAAGAGTGTGAACTGCACAGGGCCTTAACCAGGTGCGATGAGGGGTTTGCTTCATGCCTCCTTTAAGAGCTCTTGCAGATGTGCTCTTATCAATGACATCTTAGTCTGGCCCGCATGGACTCTTGCACATTGGTGGCATAAGTCAAGCTCCGATCAAACCTGGTGAGTTTCCTTCTGTGGACTCCTCAGGATAAACCTTTCTGTCCCCTGACAGTAAGGCAGGATTGGAACTCCCATTTGTGTTCCTGCAGAGTCTGCAGATGCATTTCTTCCATTAAAAGCACCAATATGGTGATTTTGGGTAAAAAGCACAATGGGAAAGAATACTGCCTTTAGATACCTGAAAATGGAACAGGAAGCCTTGGAGAGGAGGGGGTGGAGTCACATACTTTTGCATGACCCCACCCTCAGCACATGAATCCTCACCTCCCTCCTGCTTCCACCTCCATCGTGGCCTGATGCCACCCATCTGAAAGAGGAAGACCCATTCTCCCTTCTCCCCTCTCTTCCAGGTTTAGCAAGTTTAGGAGGGGAATCCTCAGCCTGCACCTCTATGACTGTATACATACTCTGTCACTTTAGAAAGCATTGCAAAGTGGAGAAGACCCAAGGCTCCTCAGAGGAAACTTTCTCCATGAATTAAGGGAAAATG